ATAATATATACATGACATATCTGAAGGGGCCCCTATAGCGGGGGCCCCCCAAAACTCATTAGCAACGGCCTCTGCAAGGGGCCCCCCATAGGAGCGAACCCGCTTAAAAACAGCGAGTATGCCAGTTGGGGGCCCCTGACAGAAAAACCCCTATAAGGGGCCCCCGTGTTGCATGCCAATATCCATAAGGGGGCCCCCTAAGGGGAACCCTTCTAAGGGTATTCAAATAGAGGGAAAGGGCCTCTATTGGGGGCCCTCTTTGGGGGCCCCCCCTATAGAGGGTCCTCTTTATTCTCCTCTGTTAAGAAACCCTTAGAGGGAGATTAAACGGGTGGGGTACCTCCCAGTAAGGGTACTACAGGTACTGGGGGCCCCCAAGTGCCTGGGGGCCCCCCCAAAAGCGTGGAGGCCCCTACTGTAGGCATAGAAGACAATTGAATAACTTAATTGTTGTCCTCTGCTGGCTGCTGAGGAGAAGAAGGAGAAGGAACTGCATTAGCATCAGGGTCTGCCTCTAGTTCAATGTCTTGGGCAAGCTCAGTTGCATAAGGATTAGGAGAGAAGGGATCTGCAGACATAAAATATAAACCCTAAACCCTAAACCCTAAACCCTAAACCCTAAACCCTTAAACCCTTTACTATGAATAGTAGATATACCCGTATTATACAGTTTAGGGTTTAGGAATGGCTAGGAAGTCGCTGTTGGTAAACAGTACAACTGCTGCTGCTGCTGCTGTTGCTGCTGCTATTGCTGTTGCTGCTGCTGCTGCTATAATAATATATAAATATAATAAACTGTACCTGCAGGTTCATATGCAGGAGAAGTAGGAGAATATTCTTGTGCTCCTTCTCCATAAGTAGGGGAACTTGCCCCTGGTAGAGGAGAAGTAGGTGAGTAACGCGGTGACTGTACACTGTAAGCTGCAGCAGCACAGCAGCAGCAGCAGCAGCAAGAAAAGAGAGGATATATAAAAAGCATAAAAAAAGAAATACACACAACTGCTGCTGTTGCTGCTGCTGTTGTTGCTGCTGCTGCTGCTGTTGCTGCTGGTGCATGGACTTGCCTGGAGAAGCAACATGGCCTCCTGCTTGGGGTGAATAAACGGGGGAAGTAGGGGAGTATGCAGGAGAAGTTGGTGAATATGCAGGAGAAGTAGGGGAATAAGCAGGAGAAGTAGGGGAATAAGCAGGAGAAGTAGGTTCTTGTAGGGGAGAAGTAGGTGAATAAGAAGGAGAAGTAGGTGAATATACAGGAGAAGTAGGTGAATAAGAAGGAGAAGCAACATTATTAGTATTAGGAGAGAAAGGAGCAAAAGGAGCAACAGTAGGGGATGTAGGGTTTAGTCCTGCTGCTGAATATGCAGGAGAAGTTGGTGAATAAGATGCAGGAGAAGAAGGAGAATAAGCAGGAGAGAAAGTTGGTGACGTAGGTGAATAAGAAGCACTATAAGAAGGAGAAGCAATATTAGCTGCTGCTGCTGCTGCTGCTCCTCCTTCCCTCATACTAGGTTGGTAATAAGGACTTTGTAGGGGAGAAGAAGGAGAATAAGAAGGAGAAACAGTATCTAATCCAGTAGTAACAAGAGGAGAAGAAGGAGAGAAGCATCCTTGCATAATAGGGGACATAGGATTATGTTGTTCCCTAGGGGAGAAACAAGAAAGAGGAGAAACAGGAGATGTAGGGGAACGAGGTGTCTGCTGAGGAGGAGAGAACTTTCCTCCTAATGCTTGTGTATCTACTATATTACCATCAACAGCAGAAGGAGAAGAAGGAGAAAGAGGATTAGATGGGGATTGAGCAAAAGATGAATATACAGTAGAAAAAGGCATAGGAGAAAAGATAGAAGAAAGACCATGAGGAGAAGGAGATGTATTAGATCCATCAGGAGAAGAAATAAGATTATTATTATCTAAATTATTATTATTAGATAGAATAAATCCTTCAAGAGAAGAATTATTATTTCCTTCTTGTTGTTGTTGTATAGTATGTGTAGATATTCTATGTACATCTCTTAATTTTTCTTCATCTATTAATAAATCTACATCTCCTGTACCTAATGGACATAATTGTCCTAACATAATATTCTCTGTTACTCCTCTTAGATGATCTGTTTCTGCAAATATTGCTGCCTCCATGAGTATTTCTACAGTTTCCTCAAAGGAGCATTTCTTTAATGGTCCTTTTTCTACTCTATTTATACCATGACGTGTTATACTCATTAAATATCCTTTTTGTGTCATTGAATCACATAATACAGCTAAATGACGATAGTTTACATAACTACCATCAAAGGAAATTACTGCACGTAATTCACGTAATAATGCACGTCTTACTGCCTCTATACCTAATACTGCAAATATCTCTGTTATATCATTACTTGTTGTTCTTGTTGCATCTACACGTGGACATGTTAATACTTCCTCTAAATTACATCCATCTGTATCCAATACCCAATTATTCACACGTTCAAACTTCCCCTGAAAAAAAAAAAACACACACAAAAAAACCCTAAACCCTAAACCCTAAACCCTAAACCCTAAACCCTAAACCCTTAGAAAGTAATTAACCCTAATATGTATATATATATATATATATAT